TCCACGCCCCCCCCCCCCGGCCGCCGTCAGTTGCGTGCAGCGCTTTGGCCTGATCAGTTCGGGCCAGGCCCCAGTCAGGGTACTCTTTGTGAGAATAGTCGCATCGCACTCGCCCCAAGTCGTGTGTGGGCAGGTGCATTTCAGCCAGCATAATGCAGCAAAGCAAGAAGCAGAAGAAGGGTGACGTGGTCAGGCTGCAAGAGCGAGGGAAGCTCGATGCGCTGGCAGCACCACTTGGTATTGTAGGCTTCTCCTTGATTGCCTGAAACTGTTTCCTCTGACATTCCCTTCACGGACAGAGGTGATTGCAGACATCCTCAACACCACTCTCCCCCTGCACAACCATGTCGACAAGACCACCATCTTCAATGTGATAGACAAACTTAAAAGCACAAGTACTGAGACGGCAGCATTTGCTGGGGTCAAACGACCGTCGGTGGAGGAGCTAGCCAGGAGCAGAACTAGTCTGTACGTAGCGTTCCCTCGTCCAGTGACGTGCCTGCTGTGTCTAGAACAGTCGCTGCAGTGGCTTCTGAACAGCAAGCCTAGGAGGCCGTTTTATTTTCCCGATGACAGCGCGCCCAGCAGAGGCATCATCCAAGAAAAGTTCTGTCCTGGTTGCAATACGATGTACTCTCTCAATTTCTACAGCCCTCAGAACTCAGGGGTGCGGAGACCGTATCCCACCCAGTGGGATCATTAAGCATGGATGGAGATATCAGCAGAGACAGTGATCGCCAGAGGACTACTGAAGCGCCATGACAGCAAACTGTAAGTGTAATAGGCCAACATCCGCACATTGTCATGCTACTGTACAATTCTGTAGGAGTTTGTTGCTTGTTATGGAGGGGGATCATCCAATCAACAGAGCCTTGCATACAGCTTGTAGGCTCCTTTCAGATTTCAACTGGGCGCTTGGATTCTTCCATGTCTGCTGCCATGTAGGGTTTGCACTGCTCGAGATGAAAAGATTGTCATTCAACAATCCGTTGGAAGGGTAGCAAATATGTTCCATCAGACCCCACTGTACAGTGTTGTGCTCTTTGGCACAATAGCGTTGCAATCAAAGGTCTTGTTCTGACAACTCATGGTTGCATGCAGGTACCACATGCATGCTACCTTCGTTTCTGCTGTCAGGGCGCACGACGACATGTTCGACCTGGAGCGCTTTTCTGAAGACCCAGGCGCTGCTCTGAACGTGATGCAGAACAGACACGTGCTCAGGGGCAGTCTGCACAGGGATCGGTTTGAGCGAGGGTATCTTCAGTACTGGGCTATCCGCTTTTGTCAAGAGCACTGTCCTACAATGTTGTCTGAGATAGACCTTTGCCAGCCCATTGACACCATCTTGAGCCAAATCAACGACCCTTTCTGGTGCCAGCTGCGAGACGAGGCCCTAGAGCACTCCAGACGTTGCGACAATCCGCTCTGCGGCAGATACGCCCATTTCGATGGCAACGCAAAGGTCTTCAGGAAATGCTGCCGTGAGCGCAACTCTGAGTTGTTCCAGACTGCAATTTGAAGAGTTGTGAAAGGCTGCCAGTGCACGCCCAAGAACAAGAAGTTTTGTAGCGAGCATCAGCCGGCAGCCTCTGCGGGCGGTTCAGGCGGAGAGGGGACGTCGGCGACCGTGCCGGACGAGGGCGATCCGCCAGAGGGGGCTAGTGATGACGAGGTGGCTGAGGACGAGGGGGGGGCGGACGAGGGGAGCTGGAGGAGGCGGCGGCGGGAGGAACGGGGGAGGCAGCAATCGTGAAAGGGGTGTCGGGGAAGTGGAATCTGGAGACTGGGCCGGTGTCCCTTCGCACGAGAGGGAAGCGCAGGCTGCTTGAAAACGACGACCTGTACGAAGTCGAGCGCATCGAGATGTCCATGATCAAGAATGGGATGAGCTTCTACATCCTTGTGCTCGTCTGATGCTGGATCTGAAGATTTGCTCTGCTTGCAGGTCACATTGCAGGTCACCGTAGAATTCAGTGGCGCAGAGTTCAGTGGGGGGGATCCCTCATTGATTGACACTTCCGCAGCCTTATTCACCCGAGATTTGGATCTTTTTGTTGCCAGCGAACTGCTCTTATCGCCTTCAGGTCCCAATTTACCTCATCAAATGGAAGGGGTACCCGTCATCTGAGAACACATGGGAACCGGAGGACAACCTGACAGTTGTGGGCCGTGAGATGCTGGATGAGTACCTGCGCACTCAACCCCAAGGTATGCAGGGCCGAGTTATGCCTGCGTACAGAAAAGCGGCCTTGCCATTGCCAATGCCAAGGCAGCATAGTGTTGATCATGTCTCGAAATAGGCACACTCAATTCAGTTGGTTCTGAATGTGGCCGCCGTTTGCTTTGTTTCTTGTGCATCGTTAGATTTCCGAACTTTCGACTTCTGACAAAGCAGCACTTGCCAGCTCACCTACTATCTGAATTGCAGGCGACTTCTACACCCGGGACCGCGCTGACCACGAGCCAGACCTTGTGGAAGACGCCGAGCCCGACGCCCCACGCTGCAAGTCAAAACTCGTGTCCTGCACTCCCCGCACCAGCTCGGACGGGCGGGGTCACACTGCGGGGACTCTGGTCGCTTTCTGGGCGTGTTGCTATATGTTCCCGCCCCTGGAGATGATTCTATCGGAGTCCACGAACCTAGTGAGTAATCCTCCTGCGTTACTTCTTCTCGCAAAGAAGGGTTCTATTATGACAATAGTTATCGGTGCAGGATAAAGTGCTGGGAACACTTTGAAAAGCATGTTGCCAGGTCGGCGAAGAAACGATGCAAATGTGGGTCCTGCAGGTTCACCACTACATGATGCTGCTCTTCGCTCACGTCCATCTCCCAGAATTCGTGGGGATGGACGACATGTGCCACTGGGCTCGGTTCGCCGCAAGCGGCGACAGACCGCAGCTCTGCGAGAAGACGCGGGAATTTCACGAAGAAACAAAGAAAGTCGGTGAGGCCTGCAAGCGTACCAAGTGTGCCTAGAAGGGATGCCTATCCGCACTTTAGCCACAATGAAGATGACATGTGCAGTCGACCTCTCAGCTTTTGAATCCATCTTGATCGCCTTCAGATGCTGTCATCGGGTATATGCTGTCTTCGAGTACGCGTAAGAGTTCCCCATGAAGGAAGGCCGTATACACGCCGCACGGGCGCAAGCCTTCGTTTTTTCAATCCGCAGTCGACAAATTTCATTTCAAGAAGAATCATGTCGGACGCTGGTGCGAGAAGAACACCAATTGGGTTGTGGCACCCTCCTCATCAGAGTAAACTTTCTAAAGTCATGTCTGAATCTGCAAACGTAACTAAGAGACAACCGCTGCCAGGACCGTAATCGCCAGGAATGCAGCTAAGTATTTCAAAACCGAACTTTCGAATGATGATACAGCTCAGTCTTTGTAGGGCCCTCCTGACCTACTGCAACAGGGCTCTCCACGAAAAGTCAGTACAACACCAGCAAAACATCTACAGCTTCCTCAGGGCATTCTTGGAGAAAGTGACCCAGAAGTGAAGAAATAAGATGGAGCTGGTGATCGTACCTGGTGCCATTTGTTGTAGTTGGTGAAGCGCACAATCCGGCCCGCATTGAATCTGCAGTTGAGCAAAGCCTTTGATCAGACATCAATTTTTTTACTTACACAATACCAAATACCAAGGCTCAGCAGCATCGATCTATGATCCTGAGTATCAAATTGCTGCCAGAGGCATTCTTTAGTGTCTGAGAAGCTTTCTTGACGGTACTGTGGTAGCGCCTGCCTGTATAAGACCATCAACATGCGCAACAACTGAAAGCAAAGCGTACGAAGGATTGCAATCAACCAGGCCTATGTCGTTCCTACAAGCCTGAAACTTGGCACATATCAAGAGCAACATTTGACCTGTTCCAAAGACGGGTTTTAACCATGAATGCAAGCCAAGGGGATCAAACACTCCAGTTGAGAAGCCTTGTTAGGAACAGCGAAGGCAGCCAAAGTTTCAATGGAGGTACCACTTGAGTGGGGGCATGCAAACTTCAGCCGCAGGTTAAAACTGAACAACCAACAACTCTAAAGAATGGTCAAGACAACCACAAACAATGGAGCGGCACACCGAAGAATACTGAGAGAAATTGTCCAACTGGTTGAAAGCTGACATGCACGATGCAAAGCTGGCACAGGCCTTACCTGTTGTCCACAGGGCACCAGAATTCAACGCGCCGGCTCACGAGCGCGCCCGTCAAGGGGATCCCCTCCCCAGAAACCGCTTCCGGTGCAGCCTTCGTCTCTGACAACGGACTTTCACCCCTGGCTGCTCCTGCTGGACCCCCATCCGTTTTTGCTTCGGAGAGCTTCACATAGCAGGAGCTGCAGGTGGGCTTCGGCTCTTCTGGCCCCTTGCACCAATTGCAGCTGCTCTTTGCCCCGCACCGGTGACACACCCCCCCAAGTCCCTGATCGTGGCACTTTTGGCACTGCGTTTCCGGCTCCCCTGCCCCCGCATGCCATTGGGGTGTCTTCCGTGTTCCGCAGTCAGCGCACCGTCCAGCTTCACACACTTCTGCCGCCACCGTCTTCTTGCCCGAGGACTTGGGTGCACCCAATGGCGGCCTTCCTCGATTCCGCTTCAACTCTCCGGTGGGTTCACTGCTTTTTGTCTCCTTCTGCAAACCCTGATTTGGGGAAGGCTCCAGTGCAGCGACTTTTGGCCCCCCGTTGTGTGGCACGCTCCCCTCAGCTGAGTTGCCCCCGCTCCGCGCCCTCCTGTTCCTCTCGTACTCGCGGTTGTAACACTTGCTGCACGTGTTTCCGCCCCCATACCACCTCCTCGACTCCGTCACCCCGCACCCAACACACTGCTGCCCCCCAGCTTCACCGGCCTCCTCAATGTCCCCACCGCATTCTTCCACCGAGTATCCTGCTGCGAGGGCACTGTCTGGAGTAGGATCAGATCCCTGTTTTGCGGAGCGCTTGTCAATCTCCCGAAGCGAGCGCTTCTTCTCTGGCGGCTCCTCTTCCATCTCTGCTTCTACCGCTGCCTTCCTTTTCGCATGCTTCGCACTGGAGGGCTCTCCAACTGATGTCATCAGCGCATCCCTGCTGCCTCCCTGTGCAAGGCGCCGCTTGCTCCGCCGCGTACCCTCCACATCCTCAGCACCTCGCAAGTCCCACTCTTGCACGACGGTTGGAGCAAGCACCCCTCTCCTCAGAACTTCTGCCGCTCCTTCTCCCCTCTTCTGCTCGTTCCCCTGCTCAACTGACGAGGGCAGGGCAGGCAGCACCGTGCTCCCCTGTTGCTGCCCCCCCGGTTCATAAGCCCCGCTGCATTTCCTTCTGGGGCCGAGTCCTTGACCTTGACTGATGCCTTGCCAAGATTCTCAGCGCCTGGCGAGATGCCTGTGGTCTCAATCACGTCCTGAGCCTCGTCTCTTGAAGCCCTATAGATTGCTGTTGACCTCTTAACTGTTGCTTCGGGGTTAGGACGCGCGTACCCAATCGTTTTGCCACCCCTCTGGACGATAGGACACATCAGAGGGGGCGGGGGCTCTGATTTTCTTTTTGCATCTTCTGCATTGCAGGTTTTGCAGATGGGAGGACATCCATTGCCCTCCTGGGGAATGAACCACCGGCAGCTCTTGCGCTCCTTGCACACGCTGCACTCGCGTGTGAGTGCAGGCACCATGTTGTCAGACTTGAGCCTTTCGCTGCGACAGTGCCGGCAGTGCCCTACTTTATGCTCTTCTTCTGAACCAAAGTTTAGAATTGCGGACACCTTATAAGAACCACCCACAGAAGTGGCAGAGGAAGTCGTAGACCTGCGTGGGTTGAAAGGTGACAATGGCTTTGAGAGTAGGCGTAGAAGTACCAACCTACCCAAAAAGAGGGAGCAAGGTGAGGCACGCTAGCGGCAATTGAGATCAAATCGTGCAGAAGTTTGCAAGCTACGGACCCTCAGTGTTGCAAAACGTCCAAAACTTGTAAACTCCTTTCGAAATTTCCGACGCGGACGACGTGGCTGTCCAATGTTTTCGATGGTACCGTGGCAATGGGTCTCGGCGGACGGTATGCACCGTTCTGCACTCGTACGATTCATCGGGCATCCGGGCACTCTCTGTAACATTAGGGTAATAATAAATAGTTCACAAAGCACTGATGGTGTTTTAGGGTCGCGTCCCTTCCCTGTGACTGCCCTCAGATTAACGTCTGAGCACATATCCTTAGGGTTTTAGTGTGGTTAGAGCTACCCGGCTGCCTGGACGACGAAATCACTGGAAGTTGGAAGCCTTGTCGACACGACCGGCGACAGGAACCGTCCGCGTCCGAAATTTCGAAAGGAGTTCACAACAAAACCTCTTGGCAGCCTACGGTACATGATGCCATTGATCGGTCCCACTCAGATAGGGACATCATTCCCAAGTTTGGACTCTTGAAAGGAAGGCGCTCAACTGGCGCTCTTGCTTGCGAGTAGCTCTTGACGCAGGGGGTCTTCACGGCTCAGCCTAGTAGCAGGTATGTAGCTCTTTTGGCCGCCATAGCCATTCTGCTGGCATGCATCCTTCCGGCCATGTACACTTTAGCCTGCGGGAAATGGTGTGTGGGGGTGCGCGTCTCGCACCTTTGACTTTACTGCACTCCATGTCTCCCTACGGCACTTTCAGCCCTTATGCTATTGTGGTCGCTCGCGACTTCCGGAAGGATGGCCCCCGCCACAGACTGGGCCCACAAGCTGGCTTGACTGCTTTCCTGCTACGGACGTACATGACCCAGATGCTTTAAGCCTTACAAGCTCATATCTGCTTTCTCTGACTCATTTCCCCGCTTTGTCCCCTGCAGCTCGGCACCTCAAGCACCTTCTTGCTCGGTCATCAGCTTCCGCAGCTACCGCTTGTCCAGTTGCGGTATGTTCACATACTTGCCTCGTACTTGTCCCGTTATCTTTTGTTGTCTTTCCACATCCTGCTCTCTTTGCCTTTCCACTCTTACATGCAACTGTTGCCTTTCCACATCATGCTATTTCTGCCTTCCCACTTTTGCATGCAAGTATTGCTCTTCCACATAGTGCCTTCTTTGCATCTCCACTCTTGCCAGCAAGTGAATGTTATGCCTGCCATCATTTTGTCCTTTCTCCTTTGGTTCCAGCACCACCGCCACCGTTTCCGGACATTCTGTCCCAAGCATTTGGCTCTGGCCTGCCCTTTGCATGCATCCGTTCTTTCAATTCTCCGAGCTTTGTTTGTCTTTGCTGGCCCTCTTTTTCTTTTAGCCCACTTTACAGCAGTTCATACTGCCACAGGTCACCTTACTGGTTTACTACTCAGCCTTCCAGGATATCGATTGTTGCACGCACAATTGCCTTTTCTTCATGCACCACGTCCTTGAAGTCATCCTTTCCAAACCCTAACATGCTTCTCCAGATGCTGCCCGCAAGCACAGCTCCTGCTTTGATGCTTTTCTGCTCTTGTTGTACTTTCTACAAGTTTGCAAATTCTTCAAGCCACCAAGTAGACCATTGGCTGAAAGAGTCAGATTGTCGGCCGTGCCGGATTGCCTCTCTGAAACTGGATTTCCACACTCTTTTCCTTGAACAGCTGCACATGCCTTTTGCTGCAGATCACTTCCCTCTGCTTTGCACAGCTGCTCTATGTACCTATACGCTGCCGCAGCCTTTCCTTTCCACCCCAGTGCCCTCACTGCCTTCGCTCGCAACAGCTGGGACATCTTGTCACACCAGTTTTTCTGCAACCATGCCAAGTACTGTTCTTGAAGCCCACCCCCCCTTCCCGTCTCTGGCTGCTCCGTCTGTATTCCAATATTCTCATCTTGCTCTCCTTCCAGGTATCATGGCTGCCACAATCAAGCCCTTCTCCAAGGAACAGTTCATCTCCAAGGGGCTGAACTCCTGGTTGGCCCCCTCGACGCTCACCAAGGTCCGGCGTGACACCAAGCGCACCTTGGAGGTCCTACGCCGCGGTGGTCAGAAGGCCGTCATCACGGACTTCCCGCGCTTTGCTCGGACCGAGCTCGGCGTCACTACCTGCTCCGGGCTCATGCTGCGCACCAGTGACGTCACAGTCAGCCGCATTGTTATGGGTGACGTCTTTGACCCACTAGAGCAGCCCCCCTCCGCTCACTTCCTTTCACTATTCGTCGTTGCTAAGCTTGGTCTCTAGCAGGGCACCCGCGCTTTTCGCTTCTATGATCCACAGAGCGGCACTCTCCGGTTTCAGCTCCGCGACGATGGTGACTTTGCGCCCATTTTTCTTCTGCCCAACTACTTCGTTTGTGAGATCCCCGGTGGGGAGAGGGTTCTGGTCGAGTTCTACCGTCGTCAGTCACAGCTCGAGGAGGAGGCAGGCACTGGGGCCTCAGTGGAGCTCACCGCCCCCTCCATTCACAGGACCATCACCATCCGTAGCGCGCCAGGTCCTGTTGCCGCTGCCCCACAGGCCCCCGGTCCCCGTTACCTTGACTTGTCTCCGCTGTCCAGTGCCGCGCTTTCCCTGTGCACCATCATTGTAGGCGACAGTACTCGTACGGCGGACCAGTTCTTACAGCAGCTGCGCAGCGCTAGCATCACGACGGCTGAGCTCCCTAGCGCCCCGGTCCGCATCGATAGCCAGGCAGGCTATCCCCTGTTTGCCTTCTTTCCTGGGACAGTTGAGTGCGCAGGCCGGGTGTTCTATGCTGTTTCTGACATTGCCGGCTCCGCCCCATCTTTCCTCAGCTTTTTCCCCGGCCCTGAGGGGAAGCCTTTTTACGAGCTTCAGCAGGCTGTCCTGGTTCCCGTCAGTTTCCTCGAGCACTTCCCGTTTGGCCAGGCTGCTCCGTCCATCCAGCGCTTGGTCCGCACCCACGATGCATTCTCCAGCGCTCACGTGGGTCTGGGACGAGAGGCAGCACAGCCAGATCCGGTGCTCGGGCCCCGGAAGGTGGTACGAGTCTACTTCCCCAGCACGGCGCAGTTCCGCATCTGGGCACGAGACTTCCCGTCTGGTGTTCCTGTTACGGTACGCCTGGAGACTGGAGAGCAGGTACGTTCTCTGCCAGCCTCCTTGCCCCTCCACCTCTTAGGCTCTTCTGTTGGTCCGCTTTCTGCAAACATGACTTTACTGTTGAAGAATTGCACTTTTCGCTGACCAGATTTCATCCATAAACTTTGGAGGCCCAAAACACCCTCGAAAAGTGGTCACAACATGTCCAAAAGGGAGACTTTTGTGTTGCTTGATCAGAGGACTATCTACGGTTCAAAACGGTCCTTCATTTGCTCAAATCGGTGAAGATCCGAGCAAGATACGTCAGTTCCAGTTTTGCACCTTTTTCCACCTTTTCGGGCGCAGCCCCGCCGGCCTGCGGCGTTTCCCCACAACGGCGTCCCTTTCCTACTCTTTTCCCCCGTTCTTCGCCTCCTCTACAACACGTACTTCTCTCTTGACATTCGATTCCCTCCTCTCAACATACGTCAACTGTTCAAATCTCTTCAAGCTCTTGCTCTCTTCTTCACAGGTCTCTGCACAGCTCACGCTGCGCCTCCCGCCGGGCGGGTTCACGCTCCAGGCCCCGGCCGAGTGCGTGTTCTCTGCTCCTCAGAGCCAACTTCTTCTCCGCCTCGCTGACTCCATGGACGACGTCATCCTCAGCTCGCTCGCTCGGGCTCGGACCGACCTGCACGTAAACCCCGCCGACCACAAGGCGGAAGACGCCGTTTTCACCGACACCGACCAGGCCGGCAACGCGATCGTCGGCTTCAGCACCGATCCCGGCGTGTCGATTTTCCTGGCGCGGGTGCATTTTCGAGTGTTCCCCGAGGGTGTCGACGTGCCTGCCTCTTCGTTCGTTGTCACACCGCGCCTGCGCGCGGCACTGAACTCTATGCCGCGCTCCGCCCCGGGCCAGTTCGCCTTCGATGCGAACACCTTCACCGCTGCGACTTTTCCGGCCGTGGACGCAGTCGTCGCTCAATAAGGCTCTGACCGGTGCCGCCACTGGCCAGCCTGCGGCGGATCCCCCTGCTCCGCGCATTGTAGACATCTCCGATGTCGATGATGCAGATGCGGCTGCAGCAGGTCGGTTCACTTTCACACGAGTCCGTCCCCCATTTCAAGACTGCGCTCTTGCTGCCTGCTGGTCCCACTTCAAATTCCAACACGACAGCTTTCAGCCTGTTGCTTCTTGCCCACTCCGCTTCGGCCCACCAGTCTCGTCTGTCCTTGTGTTATCTCCATCTGCTACTGTCGTCCGCCACCTCTCTGCCCCTGATGCATCCTTTACCCGTCCCTCTCATCCTCAGATGCCGCACCTGCCGCCATGGAGCAGTAGACCAGGACACCACCTGCTCAGCACTCTTGTAGGCTTCAGGTGCGTTCTTCCTCGTTTGCCCTTCTCCCTTACAGCGCCTTTTGCTCATCAGCCACATAAACTCTCCTACTTGCCCTCGATTCGCGACCCACACTTTGCTACTTCAACTTTGGTTCCGGATCCCAATTTTGTTGCCGCTTCGCTTCGCACCCCCAAGCTTTTTACATTGCATACTCTTACGCCCCGCTTCCCGCTCTTTGCAGTTTGGTCCTCGACCGCAGTGCATCGCCCGCATCGCGTGACCCGTCCAGTGGCACTTCCCGACGACCTAGGCCGTCCTTTTGATTCTAGTATAGCGCCTCACTTAGTTTTGATACTTTCAGCGGCAGGCTCGCCACTCCCTTTCGTAGATCCGCTACCATCGTTTGATGTAGTAGACGTTGCCACCAATACGCTCACTATGCACTTTTTTTGCTTCTAGCATCGCTTTAGGCCTTGCTGTGCTTCACTGACTTCCCTCCTTTCTCTCCATCATCTGTACCGCCTATCAATTATGGCGCCGTATTCCGAGTTTCCTCTCTCGCCAACACTCCCGATCGGCTGCACGATCATATATGCGACGTTCAACTGCACACATGGTCTATAAGAGTCGTCGGTTATTTTCCAGCTATCTTATATTCTACATTCTCTGCTGCCGGCTTCAGTTTGCCGCCCTCAATTCTTCTCCACATGACACACCTTTTTCGACCTCTTCCAATCCGCATGCCCGCTGCAAGTCATACTCTCGCTCAACACGGGCCATCAATCGCTCGCTTATCGAATGTCAAGCACATCTGTCTGCAGTCTTCCACCGCCTTTCAAACCAGCGTCTGCCGTATGTCCTGTCGTACCTCTATTTCTTCATCATTTTCGACCCCTCCGTTTGGCCTCACACGGACGCTTTCGCATCCACCACACGGACGCCACTCATATGTTACTCTGCCGCTCACGTATTTTTTACGGCCATCATATCTTCAATTGTGCCTTATGCTTCACCCCGCGCCTCGCTTAGCCACTTGCTTAAAACTAATTCCATTCTGCGTATCGCATGTCGACATATTCAGCTCATTTACCTGAGCACGTTGCATCGTTGTCGTCTGACCCAATCTCTTTCCCGCTCCTTTTCTCATGTGATTCCTTGCATCGATCACATCTGCAGCTCTCACCCGTACCCTCAACTTTCCTCGCTCTTCTTCTCAATGTTTTCATGCTTGGCGCTCCTCAATCTTTCGCTTTTGCTCCTCCTACTCGGCGGTGACATTCATCCCCATCCCGGTCCCCAGCCTGAGCCGTCTCAGACCGCCGCGCTACCACCGATTATTAGCGACCATCTCAACATCCTGAATTGGAACTGTTGCGGCATTGATGCTACGCTTGCTACACTCCCTAGCTTTTTGCGTCAACATGATATCCACGTTGCCATCTTCACGGAAACGCGCCGCTCTCTTGGGGTCCAAAAGAGCAACAATGAAGTCCGCTCTGGAGACTACACTTTTTACTTTTCCTCTCATATTGACTCCTCGCACAGCGTCTCCTATCTTCCATCCCGAACCCGAGAATGGGGTGTCTGCATCGCCGAATGTACCGGACTAGCCTACCAATCCACTTCTGCTGACATGTCCCATTTCTGCGCACGCCTTCAGCACGGTACCCTCAGCATCCCTACTCCGACCGGAGCTCTTGTCCAAATTGACATAAGTGGCGCATACGCCCAAGCACAACATGAGCAAAAGGACGCATTCTGGGAGGCTTTTACTTCATACGTTCTTCCTCTTGCCCACCCTGCAGCCACAACCTCCGCGACACACCCCAGACACACAATTCTTGCCGGTGATTGGAACAGCTATCTTGACTTCGAACGTGACATCTACCGTGCCGACCCATCTGACACATTAGAGCATACCTCCCCCGCATCCCCGCCTCAGCACCTGTCGCGGTATCTAGCAGACTTACTAGCAGAGGACGGTTTTCACTTGTATGACCCAATGGCTCGTGACAAACTTACAGCATATAATGACTTCACTTACTCTTCGTCGAAACAAACTTATCACTCAATCCTCGACAAAATGTTTACATCCTTCTGCCCTGACCACTGTGAACCTACCCGAATTCTTGACTCTTCTGTAACACAGTCACTTGGTCTGTCTGACCACCGGCCCATCTTTCACAGCATCAGCCTAGCTCGACTCTGCCATGGCTGGCTCGAATATCCTACTGCCCCTCTTACTCGACCTCGCATCGACATTGACACGGCTCATTTGTCTGCCGATCAGGAACTAGCCCTACGGAACGCCGTTCTTGACTGGCAACGTGCTCTTCCAGACCCTCTTGCCACTGCTCTGCTTCACGACTCTACTGAACCATCCCCTCATCTCTCCTCTGATTCACTGACTGCTTTGCATGAAGAGCTCACAACTCTTTTTGTTACTATTCCTGCCACTGCATTCAGCACAGGTTCTCAAACCCCCGGTCATCGTGTGTACAAGACTGTTACCGCTGGCAAAACACAACATGCCCTCCATTGGCTAAAGCGCTATCGACTTTTGTTAACCAACCTATATGCCGCCAGGATTCGTGGAGCGCAGAACATTGACAAGCCCACCCGTCGCGAAGCTCGTCGTCTGCGGACTGAATACTTTGCGGATACCACCCTCCATAACGTCCTCCAACCTTCTCTACCTACACTATTTTCGACCAAACTCCCCACGTGGACTCTCCCTGAACTCAACACACACAGTCAAACATTTGACACCCTGCACAAGGAGCTCAAAAGGGTCTTGGACCACGATCCGTTTACCAGCAAACAAGATCGCAACCGCCACGCCCGTGAAGCTGCTTACGCCACACCAATTGGCTCCAGTGCCCGCCGTCGTTATCAACTCGGCCGGAGCATCAACAACAGCCCGCTCCCGTCCATTATGAAACATCCTGACGCTCCCTCTATCTTGCTTACTGGCTCCGATGTAAACGAAATGTGGGGCTCTTCGGCAACTGCTACCCGGCCCAACACAATGCCCACTGTTTCGACGAAACCATCCATCCCTCCCTGGTTAAATCCAGCGCTCTGGACGGATGTACAGCATTCTATCACACCTGCTGCCGTCACTCTCATGGCTCCTATCACTGCAAGCGAAATCCGAACGTTTCTTAATCTCACAGGCAAATCGGCACCCGGTCTGGACGCCATACAATATGATGTTCTTCGCTACATGTGTTTACACAGTTCGCTCTCTGATTTTCTTCTCATTGCTATTTTGCAACGTTTTCTCAACATTCTGCTCCGCCAACAAGAATTTCCAACGTCCATGAAAAAAGCTCTTCTTACCTTCATTCATAAAACTGGCGACCCTTTGGAATTCGGCAACTACAGAGGTATCAGCCTTCTGAGTTGCCTCTTAAAGCTAATCACATGCATAGTAAATGGTCGACTTCAAAATCGTTTGCACGACCAGGCGGGCTTGGATTGCAATCAAGGCGCCAGTCGCAAAGGCATTCACGCTGCTCATAAAGCTGCAGTTGTCATGAATATTATTGCTGACGCTAAACTACACAAATGCCCCTTGCACATAATTTACACAGATATCAAAGGCGCTTTCCCAAGTGTCCCTTATCAAGCTTTTACAGATGCACTTACCGTGATGGGTCTTGATAATAGCATACTCCAACTCATCCTTGACATGCAAACGGAATTCAGTTGTGTCTCTAAAGGTCCTACAGGCTACTCATCACCTAAACCCAAAGTGAATGGGGTACACGAGGGTGACTGTCTCAGTCCCACTCTCTTTTGTCTAGTTCTCATTATGTATTTTCACTGGCTGCGCTCGACCGGGCTGGGTTATGATATGAAGAGTGCCGCCGGTGCGTCGCCCCTCTTGTCCATTCGAATTCCAGTCAATGGTTACGCTGACGACATGGCCCTGATCGGACGCTCGCACGCAGAGGCCCAGCAACTATTAGACATGCTGGCCCGTTTCCTTTCATACTATGGCATGGCATTGAATCCCCTCAAATGTGCATATCAATATCGAACCGAAGATCCCACATACCGCCCACCTGCCGCAACCTGCCGCTGGGGTAATCTCCCCACTTTTCACAGGCACACCTCCTATAAATATCTTGGATACTTTATCAATATGCATCTCGACTTTAAACACCAATTTGATGTCATGATTTGCAAACTTCAGGAAGCGTGTTTAAGTTACTACGGCAAAACCTCAATCAGCCTCAAGGAAGCAGTCTCCTATGTCAACTCTGATCTTATCTCCAAACTTCGCTACCGCATGTATTTAATCAATTTTCCTGACAAGTATCTAAATAAATTTCAAAATAGCTGCAACAAAGTTGTTAAACGGCTGGCGCATCTCGCAGCATCCACCTCAACAGATCTTCTCATCAGTCAAGGACTTCTGAACATATCCAATCTCCAGAACATCGTTCGTGCAGAATTTCTACAAAACTGTCGGTAAGCAGTGGGTCACCCATGTCGTATTACTACGCAGATTTCTTACACACATCTTAAATATACCACCCTTCATGGACTCTCTCCATTCTCCGCCACTGAGCTTCGATTGGCCAACTGGAAGGAATCTCACTTTAGTCCTCTGTTTACGGGCGTTCGTGACCACCTCGTCACTATCAATATTGCTCTCCACATTCATTTTGACACAACCATTAATCTTGCTAGTCGCGACATACATGAAACTATCGGCCCTTTGGCCTATCAATACCTTTCCGAACTTGCTGATGCTGACATCTCCAGTCTCATCGTCACTCGCTTATTTCAAAATTTGACAATTGCCAAGTTAACCACCCTTGACGACTTATCTCCTCTTTTCGATGCCCCTCTTTGTCGAACTGCTCCGCCACCCTGGATCCATCTCATCCATCGCCCTCCACGTTCTCCACATGAAATTATTACGCGGTATGCTTCCTCTCGCATACTCCACCACGACTTTCAATGCAACAATGTCAGCATACGGCAGCGCAAGCTGCTTCGTATACTACTTCATCTCTTTTTGGAGCGCCTCCTTCGTGCTAATGCTACTACCCCCAATTCCGATTGCACAGAGAGCGCCACCTATTGGGGTCGACTGTGTAAACATTCTCTTCCCGCCACATTGGCCTACCCCGATGGCAGCGCAACCAAAGACAACACTCGCGCAGGTTTCGGTATCTACTTCCCCGAATTTAACAATCGCTCAATCGTCTCTCGCATTCCCGGACATCAAACAATTGCGCGTGCCGAGGCATACGGAATTCTTACCTCCCTCATGGTGGCTTCGCTCGATACCAATCTCGTGATCTATTACGATAGACAACCGCTAGTTGACCAGATCAACCGTTTTACATCCCAGTCCCCCCGCAACTTTCACATGCGGCATATTACTGACCGTTCACTTTTACTTCGCATTCTCGACATCATCCGTCGCCGTACTGGCCCCACTTCCATTTTA